CAAGCTGCTGGTTTCTATTAAACAACAATTCTTTATTAAAAAAAAAAAAAGCAAACAAAAAACCCAAAACCTGTGCATTGAGGAGGGGAGGAAGAATCACATTTTTATAGTACTAAAGGAAAACTCTCAAGTTTCATTACGGTACTAGGGTAGGTAAAAAATGGCTCGATTCCAGAAACTATAATCTTGTCATGGCATCATATTGCATAGGTGAACAGTGTATTACTGTAGGCTGTACAAGTAGTATTGGGTATCAAAAGTCTTGAAATACACCCTTTAAGTCAATTCACAGAGGATTTTTTAGGCAACATGGGCCAGCACAGTAACTTAACTGGCTATTGTAAAAAGGAAGAAAGGAACCTGCTTTTGGAAAAAAAGAGCAAGGGAAGTAAAAAATAAAAAAGATGGAAATTGCAAGTAGAGTAGATAATTGAGAGATACACAGAAACTAAGAAGGACACTGTGTTACTACTTCCCATAGCAAACAAATTTGATGATTTCAGGCTGAAGTACTGTATATGTAGGGTGATATCTGGCTGATATTCTAACATCCACAGATAATCTTTCAGAACACAGGCCTTCCATCTTTCATTGCAGGTCCAGAAAATTATCTGCTGGGATACAGAAAGAACATCTGGTCCAACCCTCCTGTTAAAGCAGGACCATCTAGAGCCAGTTGTCCAGGACTATGTCATTTAAATTCAGTTCAGTGCTTGCTGAACATTTATCTTCAAAATTATAAATGTCAAATGACTGAGTGCACTACATAAATTGGCACTTTTTTTTTCTTTTTGTTTTCTTTTTTTTTTCTTTTTTAAAGGGGGTCTTTATTCTATGTTCTTTTTCTCTTCGTTATGATGACCGATCAAATGGGAAACTAGCCAGTGACTGTCACATACAGATGTGTTACTGGTTTCTATCCAATTCCTAAGTGACACTGTTGTTCCGTGCTTGGCACACCAGGCACTGAATCTCCATAAATAATTATTCTGATGTCAGAGATGCAGGATTGCAGCTCCATTCAGAGAGTCTGCCAGGCATGGGGTGTGGGCAGATGAAGGGTGCTTCTATTTACACACAAAAATCTTTGTCATCAGCCAAGAGCAACGAGAAAGGAAATACAGAGAGAACATGACAATTTAATGAGGATTTGTTCCTTTGGGGGGAAGAAGGTGGGGCTGAAAGCACAATGGTGGGATGCTGGGATTATAGCAGTTTATATCATACCTCTTTAGGAAATTAATAGTGAGTATTTGCCCTCACTACCATCAAAACTACCTATTTTACATGTGCAGCATGAACTTTAATACCTGGGAAAGAAAAGGAAGGAAGCATAAGGGAAAAAAGAAAATACTGTCATCTAAACCAATTTTGATTGAATGGTGAGGAAAATACATAAGAAAAACTTGTAAGGAGCAATGACCTGTATCACTCTGCATTTTTATTTACATATAGATACAAAAGAAAAAAAGGCAGATACACCTATGGTCAAGGCAGATAAACCTATGAAGAGGAGTTTCTTCTCCAAGGCTGCTATCCTGCTGCTACACAGGTAGGAGAACTGGCTTCCACTCAACTGCTTATTCTACCACACACACATGAGGCTGGAATTTCATTCTTGTTGCATCCCTCATGCCCTGCAAGCCCATCTAGACAGGGAAGGAGAAAAAAAACTTGGATGACACCACAGTACTCAGGATAGAGTAGCCCTAAACTCTTCTCTGAGTCATGTTATTCAAGTTACATCACTCCTTACTCTCCTCTTATATTAGGACTATGACGTTACTGAAGACTGAGTGAACCCCAGCATATCCAGTTGTTCCCCGTACAAGCTTCTCCATGACTGTTCACCCATGCTGCTGCTCTCCATGCTTGCTGGCATCTTCTTTTTCAATGGGAGAATCAGAACTGCAAATATACCCAAGACACAGGCACACCATGGGTTTATACAGTGATAAAACGATGTTCTATCATCTTTCCCTCTTCCTTTCCAAATACTAACACCATGTTTTATTTATTTGACTGAGACTGAGCACATGTTTTCTTAGAACTACCTCTTAAGAACAGTCATCTTAATACTATTTAAGCTTAGTTCTTAGATCAGGGTCTTTTTCTGGAAAATAAGCCCACTATTATATACATCAGCTTCATCAATTAACTCAGAAACCCAGGACAGCTATAAAACATATAGAATCATCTTAATTTCACAACATCCTGGCTTACATGGAAGTATTTCAGAAAAAGATCGTTTAATTATGAATGCTGGCAGCAGAAATCACCTCCAACAATAGGTAGGGTGATTAAGGTTGGGAAGAAAAGATGAAGCACATGGACATACCCTTCTCTAGTTACTTTTATGAACTATGGAGTCCAAAGACTACAAATGAAAGATTGTATTACCACTCCTAATTAGAAGTCACTAAGATTCACTCTGCTTCTTTATCTGGGCTTAATTAGCGGCCCCAATACCTTTCTCATGTCTTCTGAAAGGTCAAATGTGTAAATGTGTTTCTGAGCTGCTTGACAAACAAAAGCAAGGTAGATGAGAAATAAAAATTTGTTAAATATTAATGAAAACCAGTGTTTTGAACTCAGGAAAAATGAAACAGATCCCTTTTCTGCCCCAGGAGGAAGGTCCATGTGAGTGGGGAAACAAAAATATTCCTTTATATACGTGTGTGTACACATAACTATCCACATCAAACTGAACATATTTCAAAGCTTACATTGTCTCCAAACCATGAGGTATTTATATTTTTTCACTGATGCATTCATTTCACAGCCTAAACTTATAATTTCCACTGCATAGAACTACCCTTGTGAAAATGTATTCCAGTGAGATGAGGACAGAGCGGGGGCAGGGGGGAAGATGTATGTGAAATTCCTGAAACGCTATAGCAACTCAGTATTTGTTGGGATTCCATTCAAAGAAGTCATATGAAGCCTTCGGAGAGCTGGCATGCAAACAGTTTCAGTTATGATGGTTTGTCATTCAACAAATCAGTCAGAATTAAAATAATCTGACTGCAGCTTTGAAGTGACTTGCAGACATGTCTACTAGGATGTGTTGGTTATTAAGCAAAGAAATTTTGCTACTGATATTAGAGCACATTAAAAATATCTCTTGCAGAGCAAGATTTGAGGGAGAGAAAACGGTTGGGGAAGAAAATTATACTCATTAATAACAAGTCTATAACCAGATTATAAAACAAACATGCCAGCTTCAAACAAAGAATTCCCCTGACTGTTAATGTATTAAATACCTAACTCACTTTAATCATCTGAACAAAACAAAACCATGGAGAATACCAGAGCACAAGTTTTGTTTAATAGCAGGTCAATTAATTTTTAGGTTATAAATAACTTTGATCACTGCACACACCAAAGGCATAAAACACTTCCTAGGACAGCCCTTTAGGTAAAATACGCAGATCAGGATTCAGTATGAACTTCAGTATTTTAAAACATGAACAAAACATAGTTCGGAAAGTATTCAGTTTTGACTCATATATGGGAATAAAATGGATGACTCAGGAGTAACACGCCAAATTCTAAATAAGCATTCAGAAACAGGAATACCGCACTTGCATAAGGTACTATGCCTCAGAAAATTAATAAAATAAAAAAAGAGGCCATGTATCTGTAGCTTGCAAGTGGTCACTGTTAAAGCAAAAATACTCTCCATGACGGCAAACACTAGCTGCTCATCCACCTACCTTTACTTCCAAAATTATAAAACGTCAGATAGAGTGCATTCACAAAGTTACAAAAATTGCACCCTGCCTCCACCCCACCCCCAAAAAAGGGAGGGGGTTAAGTGTACCTTTCCTTTTTAAAATCAGGAACATGGAACTAGAAAGGACCACCTGCATCTTCTCCTATCTCAGGCATCACTTCATCCAGTTATTCCACAAACTTAATGGATTTCATGTTTGAAGAACTTCCCTCTTTGGAAGGCTCCTTTTTTGAGTCTGGTTGTCCCAAAAACATAGGAAATTTTTTCTTCCTATTTCCAGCCCCAATTTATTCATAGCAATTTAAATAATAGCCTTCCTTCAGGTAATAGCATACAAGTGTGATCTTGATAAAAATGAAACTAACATGTCACAGCTTCCTGTATTTTCAGCAAATAGTTCAGTCAACCCTAAAATCTTGTTCCTACACGCTGGAGTTAAAAGTTCAACTCATTGGCTGCAACAGATGTCTACCCACATCCTTAAACAGACAACTAACTTGCCTGGTGCTGTCAGAGAAGTCTACAGATGCCTGACACAACATTGGAACTTTAAATATGCAAGAGCCTACATTCCCTATCCAAGGCAAATGCCTTTTATATAGATTTCACAATAGAAGTTATTTGTGTAAGAAGAAGAAAGCTGACAGCTAATACAGCTATTCCAAGATTATCTTGTTAGAGGTGTTTTGCCCACATTTCTTTTAACTCTATTTTTTTTAATATTTTGTCTTTCCCAGTGACTTTAAAAGCAGAGATAATGAAGCAATTCGTTGCATGCAGGGGAAAAAAAGGGTTAAAGCTTGCAGCCACTTCCGAAAGTTTAAAAGGCTATGACCTTGGCTAACAATATTTGTAATTTCTATGGTGTTGTTGACTCTGACTACAATTTTCACATCTACATAAATATATACATACACATATATGCACGCATATATATGTATTTTATATGCACAGACTTGTGTAAGCCTAACGTTGCCACTTTTACATCATTTTACTAAGTAACACAAAGCATGCTTATATCATTTAATGTATCCAAATGTAACAAATTTTATGGGCAACAACTGCATGCAGCCATTAAAAGGCTTAACTTGCATTACACAAAATGAGTATACTTTTTCCTGGTGAAGATGCATAGTTACACGTTCAACTTCTTTGATTTTATGACTGGAATCCCTCTACCCTTCCCAAAGGCAACCTTAAAAACTTGTTTTCCCAGCTCCCAAAAGGCACGCTCTTCAAGTTGTTGGATTAATACTTTACTCACCAATGCTACTCAGAGAACTGCTGCTTTCAGAATCTGAGGGCATTATGGACAGCACACTGTAAGTAGACCCTAAAATTAGAAAAATAAAGACAGTGTTACTTTTTTCTTTTCCTTTCCCCAAACCAAGCTAACCATTCATTTTCTTGATACTGTAGATGCCAAACAAATTAAATTAGAGAACACGTCACTAACGCATAAAAATCTAACAGGAAAAGTATAATTTGTAAATGAACATCGCACTGTGCGCTGAGTAGGAAATCATTTTGGATGAAATGGTAAAAAAGAGTTCAGCAAAATCCTGAACTAATACAGTGGTTATTTCGGATACACTGAAAATACAGAGTTTCATCTCTACGTTGTGAAGATTATGAGCAATACCTGTGACAATAGTCAGAATCTATTTTGGTTTCTTATCTTTTTACATGTACCAGCTCCTATTTCATTCTGTAACTTGATTTGTATTCTTATCCTCAAACTTCCTTAAGACTTAGAAATTTCATTTCACTGGTAAATAAATTTTGCTTGCATCCATTTGCAAATTTCAGTATCTGACCATAAAAGCAAGGACCTACAAAGCTATCTGCTGTTACTGATGATAGCAAGTTTTTTCATGTATTTATAGATGAGTAGACAGAGGCGCCTTTTAATTTAGTTATTTTAGAAGTATGCTAGATTTTACTTACCAGAAGAACTAGAAAAACAGGTTCTACTTCAAAACCTTACAAACTAAACAGCTCCACCATCCCTCACAAACAGGATAAAAGTGCCGCAGTAGAGACAGGGAGTGATGATGTGCAAAAGCGATTTGAAATCTGGTCCATTTTCAGCACTAGCCAGGATGTGAGACCTGTCTTCACAACAGCCAAGCTCAAAGACAGTTTTGATACTTTCAGGAGCTGCCTTTCCTATAGTCCTCCTTATGTTTCAATATTTGTTCCTTCCAGTCTCTTTGAAATTAAGAAATAAAAGCTGAGAAGCAGCATGAGATTAAACATATGGACCTACCTTTGAAATAGATTAAAGAATGGACAGGCTGGAAAATAAGAAAGAAATCCTAGGGTTTGTTCATCTCCTCTCCTTCTTATTAGAAAAAGACATGACATCTGTAACTACCACAGTGTTAGATGAAGGAAAGACAAGATGTGATAAAATAAGTTTACTAACAACACAAGCAGTAACAGGCAAAGTGAATCAAAAAAAGCACACACACTTAGGGCCTGATCTTCAGCTAGTAAAAGTGACATGGACCCCAACTTTAATGGGGTGTGTTTATTTATCTTGACAAAGAATGAGGCTCCTACATTTGATAAAAGGAGTGATGTCTAGGCAAAAGCAAACTTAAACAAGTACTGGAATGCAAGGAAAACTCCCTCTATGCAAATCCTCCAGTTTTATTAGGAGACATTGCAGAAAGTAAGTACCAGAAAAGGAAATTAATCTTGAAGTAGACTGTTTAACCTGACAAATCCCTGTGAAAAATGATTCAAAATGCATTGGTTACAAATAATTCTAGTTGATTGTATGGAATGTAAGGTTTTTTTGTTCTGATTTTTAAATAAAACATATGACAAGCATGTCACTGACACACGGGCTTCATGAAAAAAAAATCTGCTGTGCATTTTTGCTTCCATTTCAAACATTTCCACAGAACGATTTAAGCTGTGTTCCTATTTCATTAACGCTTATTAAAAGCAAAATAATTTCTGCATTAATTAAAATCAACCTCTTTGCATATTCTAAACTCATATGACTCGTATTTCTTGTAGTCTGGACTAGAAGGATTAGAATCATAAGGGAAGCTGAAAAAAGCAGATCAATATCCTAAAGTAGAACATGACAGACAACGTGTACTGAGATGGTATCAAAACTGTGTGGGACTCAAGCACAATAAAACCGTGTGCCAAGAAGTGACACTTCATTATACTCGGCAATTTAAGGCAAAATTTCCCAGTTCCTCTAAAAGATTACAGAGGAATCCCATACCTAAGCAAACTTCTACTGATCATTAGCTGCTTTCGCTTCTTTTTAAGAGCGGAGAGAGAAAAAACTCAAAACCTTGTCATCTTAGCTGATCTTGCTTTTATTTATCATCAAGAAGCATTGATCCTCTCTGTCTTCTTTTCCTGCGTTAAAAGCCAGAGCCAGGACTTAAAACAAGTTAAATTCTGCTCTCTGGAATAGATAGAAAAGTTTTGTGAAGCTGACTTCATCAACAGAGAGATTAGACCAGATTTGTAAACGCAAGATCCAGTATGCATGGCAAGTTATCACAAGAAAACGTACAATTGTGAAGAGAGGAAGAATCATCTGACCCATTCATAATTCCTCACTTCTAACAGGAAAAAAAAAAAAAATCTAGTAGCATTTGTTTGGCTTCCAAGGCTGGCTGTGGGTGTGTTTAGTTTTGGTTTGGTTTTAAACTACACATGCGCCACCTTTGTCATCAGAAGCAGCATTAGTAAGCATCAGAAGCAATAACCAGAGGACTCTACATAGCTTTCACAATATTAAAATTCATCTTTAGGTACTGAACTGATACACATCCACATACCCAATTCAGGCTAGAATAGCATCGTACTTGACGTATTCCGCTTGACCAAACTAGCAGTACCTCAGTAGTACCTGAAAACGCTCCAAGACAGAGTTTTCCTACTCTATAGGATGCCTCCTGACATAAACAAAAATGCTGAAAACCACCCTAACACAAATTCAGATACAGGCAAAAAGGCAAGGAAAAAGGCACAAGCTGGCTTCTATAACCAAAGGCACTAGAACATCCTGTTTATTCACGAGCTACACAACCATGGTATTTTAAGAAATTTGTTGCAAAACCACCCCCCTCCCTCTCCCCTTTGCTGAGCAATTTTCCACTTTATTTCAAATTCTTGAAACTTTCTGACTGTCCATCTTGTCAAATTGCACAAAAAATAAGATCAGAACACAAAACCCAATAAGAAGCCATGACTACTTTTCCAGGTTCGTGTTGAAAGTGCTTCACACCTAGGGATTCACATGCCTTTCACCATACTTTTCCAAATATTTTCATACTTGTCCTCTAGTATTCACCTCGCATGCCAAAGTTCCCCAATACAAAAACTTCCTACATTTGATCTCAATTCACTGACTCACAACAATTGCTGACATTCTTTAAGTTCAAAATTACAACTCGAAATTACAGGATTCTGAGAAAAACAGTAGATACTACTCATACTTCATTAAAAAAAAAAGTGACCTGTCTTTTACAGATACACATCCATACAGAGAGGAAAAAGAGCACAAGCATCCTGTCTTTGCATGGCAGACTTGCTTTTGGGGCATTTCTTTTTTGCTCATCCAGATTTAAGCTTTGGATCGGTTCCTGGCTATATTAAACAGCTTTGGCAGAGCAGAGGGATTTAGAAACTGCAATGGTATATACTAGAGAATCTTAAGAATCCCATTTCCTTCTATTTTTAACAATTAGAGCATGTCAAATATCCTTAAGTTATTACTGTCTTCATTAGTCAGATGACAGGAAGGCCACTTAAAAACTCGCAAATTCAGGAAAGGAACTAGTTGCTTAACTGTAGAAGCCGCTTCCAGGGACAGCGGAGGAACTGGATTCTAATTTGCCTCCATCTTTCACACTACATCCACACAGAAACAGTGATATATATTTCCCTCGTTAAGACAGATAATGATGGTGGAGGGGAAAAAAAAAAAAAATCACATGTCCTAACAAGACACCAACTGTCTAACCAAACAATTTCCTCATCAGCAATGCCAAAACTAGACTTATAGAATTAAATTACTAGCACAAAATAAAACCAGAACATTTTTCTCTTCTGTATTTTTAATATTTGAATTGTGAAACACCACATAACACTGGGCATCACCTGTACTTCAAGGAGAGACTTAAAAAGACAAGCCAGCTAATTTCAAAGCAAAGCCTCCAAAACAAGCTTGCACTTAGTACCTTCTGTAAGAAAGCAGCACAAAGGATCAAGTAAAATATCTTCTAGGACTAAATGCTAAATTATTGAACGACTTTGGAGAAAAACACACTATGTTCAAATTTCATTATGTGGACATAACCTGAATGTCAGGGTTGCCATGGCTGCGTAGAACATTCTCCTCCTCCTCCATACAAATACAAGTATGTACATAAGTTCTGCTCATCACTCTAAAGCGTAGTGTATCCAAGGGGACTGTAGTGGCAAAATAAGATACAGGGACTCAGCTTCCCAGAATTCATTGCACATATGATTTCAATTTTTTTTTTTTCCAAAAGGTATGTTTTTCTCTCAAATATTTACAAAATTATATCTATAATTCAACTGAAGGCTATTTCATCTTGCAAAAATTTGCTGTATTAACTAAGTGACTGTGCAGGAATAAGAAGTATTACTCCCTCTGCTACACACCTTCAGCACAGGGCCAAAGAGGCAGGTATACTAAACCTGTTTCAGTGTGTGAAGAACCAGGGTTTAATTCAAGGAGCAGTAGGTGTTTCATCCCACTAGATGGGGAGTGCTCTGGTCTTAGCTGCACAGCTCTTGGCACATCACTCATCTTTAAGGATTGCATGAAGATCTGCAGTATGGCTGACTCCTAAATTAAGCATGTTTCCTAACTAAGAACACTTAGCTCATTGTAGGACTGAGCCTAGAAGAAACGTTTCTCCTGCTCAAATTTCTTTTGCTATGCTTCTGCTTTTAAGGATGACATTAAACGACTCTCTGTGCTCCCCTGCTGCGAATTTCCGTTGTTACTTAAACTCTGCTCTTCCTCCCACCTCCCTTCTCAGCACAGTGACTGCCAGCTGATTCAACTTCTTGTCAGCAAATGATTTTTCTGATGGAGGTTCAACGCACCAGATGAGAGGGCAGCGTGACAAACATTTGTTTATCCACATCTCTGTGAACCAAACCAAACTGACTTTGGCAGGACTCCTACTTGCTGGGGGGGAGCGAAAAAGTTTGATTAAAACTGGGAATGACCCAGATTACAACGTTCCCATTGCCTTTACAACAAACAAAACTGCCCAAGTAGCTCAAGATCACATGGATCTGCCATGCTCTATCTCTGAG